AWTWAWTWTTTTCCTGGGACACACAGTGGAACATTCATTTTTGGGTTTAAATACGCTATTCTTTTGCCCATGTGTGAATCCCTGCAGAAGTTCTCTGTCACTGCAAATACTTGCTGCAACTTGTTGATGACAAGTTTTATTGTATTGCCAGCCGACAGTAAAATCTGTAGAAAATACTTTTTTGTTTATTCCTTGTTTGTTTGGTGACCAWCATGAGTTTATTTTTAACATTTCTTTTCTTCCTATCACACAAGAAATTCTTGTCTCTCTGTGCACTGATACAGTATTGCCTGATGTTTTGAGATATTGTTCTTTCCTACAGGCCATTTGTAAGACGTACAGTATGCAACACATACCATGCGTTTTTGGAAGTCCTTGTGGAAGGTTAGTTCTTTAGTGTGAACACAAAGAATCACCCTGGAGTCAAGAAATACTGTACAGCTGCYCTGCCATGTCTCCAGTTACACGGAACACAGAAGTCACGTAGGCCTACCTGCTGCCTGTTTCCACCACTAAACCTCTCCAGAGCTGTGACTGTGCAATTTCTGGAGCGCTCCTCACTCACAGTTATRAGTTTTAATATTTTAATAAGACATACATAAAACAACAGCATATGGTTGCATTTCTGTAAACACTGGGTTATTGTTATGCTGTATCAACATCTTTAAACCATGTCCCACTACATTCTTGGAAGATGGAAAAACAGAAAAATGTGGAAGAATTACATAATAAAAAATTACATTTGCAGTATTTGTTTTAATCTAAAATGATAAAGATTTAAAAGTTACAAATCTGACATGACTACCAGTAGCATAGTGTGTTCTTTAATTGTGATTTCTTCAGCATTTATGGCAATGTTTCCTCACATTGAATAAATACATTTTTCGTTTTGACATATCTAAGAACAACATACTTACAAGCTCTATTTTAGCACCCCATCCTGGTGTTTATGTCTACTTGAAAGTGAAATGGGTTATTTCACAGCATAATAACTCTGCGTTGAATTAGGATGATTAATTTCACATGTGCAACGTATCTAACCTATAAATAGGTATGTTCAGGTAAGGTAAGTTCAGGCTACTGCAATCTTAGTGTTTCTATATTGCATAATTGGTGTGCTTTGGTTGTGTGCTCTTTAAAATGTGTAATTTAGGCAAAATCAAAGACTGACTACTCTTAAACCAATCCTGCAAAATTATTCACAAATAAATCTGAGATTGTAATGAACAGCTTACCTAAATTTAAGAGTTGATTCTGGCAAAAGGGTTTAAACATAATTTGATGGGTAGGCCTAATTATCCACTTTTTATTTGCACACCATATTGGATAGGATTTTTCATAAGTCTCTGAAGCCTATCATAAAATGATAAGAAGCCACAGTAATCAGGCCATTGTCAACGATTGATAATAAAATTCAGACAAAATCAAACACTGCATAAGATAACATATAACCTACAAAGCATGAATGTTGTAGTCGTAGTATTGTTGTTATAG